GGCGAGCGCAGGTACCTTTATGATCAAGGTGAAAGAGGGGTCGCAAATGAATAAGGGTGGCATCTGTTGCGATCCGTTTAATTAGATGTAGTGTACCTCTGTCTTTACCAGTAGCCGTAAATATGTGCGTAATGTACATAACAAGTCGCTGAGTAAAAGTTTGCTAATTGATACGCTATAGCGCCATCGGATTTAAATTCATACGTAGGTAGATAACGAGGATTGTTAGACATATATATTACATAATTTATAACAATAATCTATATTGTTTTAAAGCGTGAAGTTTAGCGATTGTCTAATAGCCTTATTATTATTATTTTGTAGAGAAAGTCCGTTATATGAGAGTGTTCAGATTACAAACGAGTCAGTTAACAAATAACACGCCAGTTCTGATACATATTTATAAGTTGAGAAACCATTATTATTAGGCATCCATCAGTTCGTTTTGGTTTGTTAATCGCGTGTAGGTATTGTTATGAACGCTCGCTTATTTTAATTGCGGAATATTATCGCAATTATGTTGGACAAATAATAACACAACAGAAAAGTGAAAACTCCGAAAGCGAAATTGGAGCAATCCGCGCGTTCGCTATATCAAAATGGAATCTAAATAGGTGGTACATGTACTTTAAAATGCTTAATCATCTAATCTGGGTTTTATCTAAATTCACCCCGCACTAAATAAATAATTATCTACCGAACAATCCATTGTTGCGAACAATGAAAAATGCAATACGGAAAACTGAACCTAAACTTTAGCGGCAATAAAGGCGCGCCGCAAGGATTAATAAGTGGACCTACACAACGGTGGGCACTCATGCTTGACTCTCATAAAAGGGGGCTAAATTTCAGCTTAATTGTTACTGTGACACCATCTGTTTCCTTTCGTACCGAAGTGGTAACAATCAGATTAGGTTTCCTACTACTTACTTTATCTAATAATCATTTGCGTGTATGCACTATTTTTGAGGGTGTTTTCGTGGTTGCCTTATTTTTAATATGTGGATATCTCGCTAGCATATTTATGGGAAAATAAATTGCCGCTACTGCTTTTGGGGTTATTAAAGTTGAATAATGTTCGCCTGTTATACGTATATATTATACGTCTCAATAACGATTACCTACCAATTGTAGTCGTTAATTTGCAAATTTAACAGATGTGTCATTTTGTTAGTGTCCTTCTATAATTGACCATTGCTAGTTTAACCGTCCACCTGATATTATTAAAAATATATGTAACTGCAGTTTATATTGTATATTACACGTAGGTATACGTGCAGGGCTCCAATGAGGAAGAATACGCCCGATGGCCCACAAGTCACCCACACATTTTTTTATTTCCTTACATAGTTGATCCGTTTTCAACATAAAAATTTACTGTAGTCAGCACACATACCATCCGCACCCCTGCACATTTCGCGATTCTGCCCAAAAGCGTTCAGTCCTGCCTTTCATGTCTAAAAATATGTGTACCAAATTTAGTTCCAATCGGTTCAGCTGTTTAGCTAAAAATAAGAGGACAGACAGACATCAGATTTTGTTTGATTCGGGTTCCTGGTGGTTCAAAACGTGTATAATTTGAGGTGATAGCTGATGAGATTTTGAGGGAGACCTAAAACTTGAGGGATATATGAGAGGAAATGCGTGAAAAATTTAAAGGAAACTTAAAGGGACGTTCAGAAGAACTTAAAGAGAAGCAAGCACGAGAAGGTAGTCGAGTAACAATATACGTTTAAGGAGACTTGCTGAAAAGTAAAGAGGAATTTGAAACTAACTTCAATAATTCTCTTATTTAAATTCTGACGCCATCTAGATATTTCCTTTGTAAGAATTTTCGCCACTAGAGGCAATCCGAGTGTTATAGGTTTATTTTACAATAGCTCTTTGCTTCGCCGCCCGAGGTCGTGCAGATGTTTTCCATGGTAATTCTAATCCCATCTCTTCTGGAGACAGCAATCCTCAAAATGGTATCACGGATTGTCGAGAAGTTACCGAATCTGAAGAGCCTATAAGCGAGGGAACCTCACAGAATTCAACAAAACGTACTAGTCTCCCATGCACTCTTTCCATACATTCAACAAAGATCCCCATTTAACAGTCCTAGATCTTGGATAAGCCACATTCGACATTGCGGTCTCTGATATTAAGGCCCGATCAAATCGGCAAAAAGAAACGCGAATTAAAAAGTCGTAATAAATACCCTATATCACATCCTACTACTTAAACCTTCTCCGTTGGTTAGTCGCCTCTTACGACATGCAGTGTCTCTGCAGTAGGGATATTCTTTCCCGTCCCTACACGGTAACTGTCAGAAAAACCCAAATATACAAAAAATATATATACAGAGTGACAATTTAAGAACATACAATAGACCATATCTCACAAAAATCGCAGATTTTATAAACAAGGTTAAGAAAAATGGAAGAGAGCGAGAGAGAACTCACTCCAAATAAATTCCTAAGCGCCACTTACCTAAAAAAATTGATTATTTAACATATTCTACTCAAGGAAACTTCTTATTGAAGATTTAGATATTACTGATCCTTGGAGCTTTTTATCATTGAATCACAAGTAGGGTACGTTTTTAAAATTTAACTTCGTGACTATGGATACGCCCTTTTCAATTGTTTTATTCCATTGATGTATCACAAGGAGGGGTTAGATATTTCCTTTTTTAGTTTGGGTAGGTAGACTCAGAGAGTTGTTGGGATGAATTCTCTTTTATGTCATTTAGTTCACCCTGTATATCTTACAACCTGAACCTGAAGTAATGTTGGTATTTATGTCGTGCACGTTTTAATTTTGGTTTTCCCAAAGGTCCCGGAATGTAGTTATGTTTCAAACAAGCGAAAAAAAAAGTCTTCACCGAAGAGAAAAAACCCCTAACGTTTTTTTTTATTATTATTAATTAAGTGTGGTTTAGCAAGACCATATAATTTCAAATAGAACGTTTGAACATTGTTTGTTTTTTGAAGTTGCAATTATTGTATGGTTTAGTGCCTATTGACTATAAATAGTAATTAAGCTTTTGATGTTAGTGCCATATATTTTGAATGTATGTGAAATGTTATAGGGTGTAACGGGCGATCAAAAATGAGTTGCTGTCGAGTCGCCTTTGGAAGTTCAAGTTAAATACGATTTTCCATGTAAGAAAAATTTCGAAGGCGACTCGACAGCAACTCATTTTTGATCGCATAGTATACGCTATGCAATTTTTCCTTACCATTCTTTCAGTATAGCAATTCCTTAATTCTTTTTCAAATTATAACCAATGCTTACCGAGGAACGAAACACAAACAGGCACCTACTTGGTTTTGGCGCGAATGGTATAATTCTTATATTCATGATTTCCTAATTTTCACTACAATATCATTCTCTGTATACAACAATTCATTTAAAATATTATAGAAAATCCTTCTTTGCCTTACAGTGCACGTTTCGTGTCTAGAGTGCCAGATTTGGTTCGTTTGATTTGAATATGTATCTCAATTTAGTTTTTCCTTTTAGAAATTTTGTAATTGCGTAGTTTTCGCTTTAATTTTATCGCTTTTGTAATTTATTCAATTTAGATAAAGTGTTAGAAGTAAGACACATCTGATCGTTGGAATAAGGAGTTTTATCAGGAGAAAATTGATTAACACGCGTGTTTTATCGCGGCTGAGTTTCGCAACGGCTAAAGAGCATGTAAATTTCTTTACGCTAAATCTAGGGCAGTCAGCCCGATTTGTTTACTTGAAGACGCAGTTAGTTATTCTTTTTATAATACCCTTCTGCAGAAGCAAGTTAACGACACCGGTTGAACAAGTGTAACGTGCGTTGTCCGATTACGGAAAAAGTATTCCAAGTTAGAAAAGCAAACAGTAGTCCGTCAGAGCTGTTTCCGAAGACTTCCAATGAAAATCCTTCATTGACGCGACTGCGGCAATCGCAGTCATAGCATCAGCGCGACGCTGCACATACAACGCTCGACCGAACATTTAAGGCCTGTAGTCAGCAACTTTTTACGGTACCATATCGTGTACCTAATGTTCTTATGGAAAAAGCGCTCTTCAAACTTTTCAAATCCAATTATATCCTCCAAATAAGCGGTTGTTAGTTTGTCACTTCCATTTTTGTCAGGCGTTGTTGTGAAAGGTTCCAGAATGGCAGCAAGACATACTCCAGTAATGCAGAAATTCTTCTGATGCATAACAGATTGTTTATGATGATCATTTCGTGAAGCAATTGTTGGAGAATATGCGGTTCCACACTTAATAGGGAAGACTGGTCCAGTTTTTCATTGGGTACGTAGATAGGTACATTTTTGCGAAAACCTCAATAATAGTGGAACGGGTGCTATAGGTAATACATACCTACCTACTTAGCAAGTATCTAAGCGGCTCTCTACCAACATTCAGTTCCATTACGTACATATATATATATATATATATTCAAATCATATATAGGTACAGTGATTTCCCTCAAACAGCGGGTAAAATAAATCAAGTAAGTAATAAAACGCATCCCAGATGTGTGCAGTTATGCGAAGGATTACTTCAAACTTCCATCTGCCAACTTTTCGCTTATACGAGGAAATGTTTTCGCAACTAGGATAGGTACCAAACAACTAATCAATAAGGTCATATTTTAAAAGGAGCACTTCATTCCATTATAAAATGTAATTCGACAAAAACAATAGTGCGGTAAATTCAGAAGAAAAAGAATAATTGTACTCGAAATAATAAATTAGATGCGTTTAATTAATTATTGTAGAAGGGAAGTTTCAGAGCTCTCTTTCAGGTGGAAATGCCCAAAACTGCTTTCTAAATAGTCAATCTAATAAAATCTGAGCTTAAGACCTGCCCATAAAATAAATGTATAAGAATTGAGCGTTTGGACGCCTCTTCAGTTTAGCGGTAACTTCGATTGGTGCGCCTTTTACAAAATTGGGCTTGCCATTGGACGAACGTGGTCTGGTGAGGGTAGAAGGGAACGAGATTGTTAAACATGGCTGATTTACTGAAAGCGAGATGTAGCAAGTTAGTTTGGTTTTATACGTCCATGTGTGATGAATTCACCTGTATATATTTAAGGTGATAATTACGAGTGATTTTTTTTCCGTGGCGGTATGTTTTGAGGTTGTTCTCTGGTGATAGTGGCGGTTGTTGTTGGAGAAACGTCGCCGGTCACCGATTTTTGGAGTTTTGGTGCGGGGGTAGTAACTTTAAAAGTGTGGAATAGAAGCGAAAGTAAATTTGCGCCAGGTGTTGCGGTGGCGGGTATGACTGTGCAAGACGAAGCTCGTGCAATGCCGCAAACTGCCGCCACCCGCTCCCGATTTATGATAACGGATATCCTTAATAGTCCTGGAGACGGAGCTGCTGTTCTTCGGGGGCGATCTCCCAGTCCAGGACCACGAGATTTATCCTTACATTCTGTACCTTTACATGCTGACAGCGACACTGACAGTTCCGGACATCCTGACACTTCTAGCGTATGCTCTAATGGTAAGTAAGTCAATTAAGCTCTGTCAAGATTTGAGCGCGCGATAAATAAATGTCAGTCTCTAGGAGCGAAACCGCGCGTCTCGCAAACAAATAAAACAAGAATAAAAACCGTATAGGTACTACGTTTTACTGCCCGATGTACATAATTGTAATTATTTCATTAAAAATATTACCTACTCATTTTATTTTTAATGCCGGCATGAATTAAAATACTATTTATTGTTACGGCGCGCTTCCGTTGTATTGTATGCGCACGCAAATGTTACATAAATATAGGAAACATATATCGCATCGCTAATTTTAGAAATCCGCAAATGAAAGTTTGCGCAATTATTAAGTAGGTACTTACTCTACTTCTCTACAGATATACCTAATTCTCATTCTTCGCACACATCATTTGAATACTGCATTTAGTTTTAAACAAATGCTACGCGATAAAATTAGATGACGCTTGGCGGAATAAAAAAAGATAAATGTTCATTTTACTTGTGGGAATACGCATCAAATTAACTTCAATATTTAAAAGCTTTACAGAATAAAATTATATAATAGCGCGATTTCAATTGGCAATTAGATTTTTTCCTAGTTGCACAATAAGTAATAATTGCTAGATATATATGGGAAACAGTGCGCACAATAACAAAAAATTATCCTAAATTAACTCTAAACAACTTGATGATTATTATAACAGAACCTTCATTGGGTTGGGTGTAATAAAAATGTTAATAATTTCACACAATTTATAATGTAACAAGTTTTCAAAAACAGTATTTTTCACAAGAGCTCTAACAATTGAATTGATTCTTATTACTCGCATTTCTCAGCGGTTTAGCGTGTAGTAACTTGTAACCTCTTGTTTAATAATCTAATTATTACAAGTCATAAAGATAAATCTCAATTAGTTGGTCTCGATAAACATGCAAAATCATAACAAAAAAGTACCTACCATTCAAGGCTGGTGCGTATAATACAAGAATGTAACTACCTGTATAATCAAATTAATGCGGAACTTATGAAAAGCAAACGCCTTTGTAACAAAAAAAAATCTCATTAAATTTAATAACTTTCGAAACGGTGCATTAATAACCGTAAAATTAGTTCTTAGATCGCCGGACTTTGTATCGGCGCGTCGTTTATGTAACATCGGCGACGCTCCTAAAGCAAATTAAAAAAACAACGGTCTCTCGCGTTATCCACGCGACGCCCCAATTTGTACCATTATGCTGCGAAATAACGGTTGTCATACACAAAGAAATGGCTTTATTAAAATATAAACAAAAAAATTAATGACCGAGACTTCTGTCTTCAAAGCTCGGTAATTGAGAAGTGAAAAGGAATGTCAAAATTATTTTCGTATATACCTAATGCAATATAACATATATAATTAAACAAAAAATAAGTACCCGGAAGATAGATCATCTTTTAAAGCGTAACAATGTGTTTCGTAATTACTGTCCTATTCGATACATGACAAAAGTTTAAGAAACAACTAGAACAATGAGCGTTTCCGTTTTCGTGATTATACCACGAACAATTTTTATAGGTAGGTACCTCTACATTAAATTTTAGTAATTACTTTTTATATGGTTCACATCAGTGAGCACAACGTATAATTGTTGCAGAGCGCTTTATTAATAATACGAATTGTCAAATGTAAACAATACCGTAATTTTATTTAGCTGCTCTAAATATGAAAAAAAACGCTATACCATATACGCTTTTTTAATTTGAAGAACGCATCATTATACATTACTTGCATCGAAACACCGATCATCTGTCATGTTAAATTGGAACATACAGTGCTACTTATTAAGAAGTAGACATATGGATTTATGTATACCTAGGTATTTTTCCTATGTCTACTTTCAAAAGACAAAATCTCTTTTGAAGGGCGCCTAATTTTAGGCATGCAAAATAACGTTTTAAAACAACTAAACATCTGGTTGTCATATTAATTAGTTTGAATATTGTTGCTTTGACCAATTTGACTTACCTAACAGAAAATAGATCTCTTACGCTCCTTAAACGGTTACCGGCACTACGCCAATTGACAATAACAACTTTTTATTCAGTTGAATACATCGCTTGCGAACTAAAATAAAAATACGGAAGCCAAAGCAACAATATTCAACGGTACTACACTATCAAGGATTTGATAAAATACCTATGGTTTATAAAAGATTGACGACGTCGGTTATTACTTTCTATAAAATATATTTTATAAAACTAATAATTTATAAAAGAAGTAATATTACACTATCAAATATTTTATAACATATATTTTATAAAAGATCTTTGTCAAATATCCTTTATAGTCTTAATACCGGCCTAAAGAAGTTATTTTGGTTGCACAAAATTAAACACCCTTCAGAAAAAATTTTGTCTTTTGAAAGTAGATACATACCTACCTACATAAATCCCTATGTTTACTTTTTAATAAATAGCACTATACCCTACTATTTGTATTTATTTTGAAATTTTATTTTTATGGTATCGTTCGTTGTTGCGTTAAGTGCCTATCTATATCATTAATAGAGACGACCGGATGAAGAAACGTATTTTGAATGTTTTGTGTTTTTGTTCACAGTTTTAATGGCGTCACTATTAGTATTATGGAAGGATGCGTTCACGCTACTATAGCTTGAACATATGCATGTTCAGAATCTTAAGGTGGTTCGAACATTCCGCGTGGACTCCACCCGGTGTTAGGAGGGTTAAGCTCCCCAAGTTTCACCCAAGCTCCCATAAAGGTCTCCCAAGTTTGTCAAGTCTTCTTAAGCAAGTATAGGTTTTTTTGTTAAGTATTTCCCCAGTTCCTCTCAAGCATATCTCAGGTTTCTGTCAGATGCGTTTAAAGTTATTCTGAACTCCTTCGTATGATCAGTTTATCTCATGTGCCCATAAAGTTTCTTTACCTGTTCTCGAATTCTTCTCTATTCCCCGTGCCCCTCGCGTCATGTTCTCCCATCTACGCTCCTAAGGCGGTGGTGAAAAGGGTAGAGGGGAAAAATTCCAGTAACTGTAGAAATTTCCTTTAAGTTTTAGATTTTGTAGAATATGTTAAATTGGCAGTTTAATAGGTTTGAATTAGAAGGCTAAGCCGTTCTTTAACCGTAAGGATAGATAAAGTGACCACTTTAACCGTAAGAGTAGATGAAGTGAAATAAATGATTGTGCATTCAAATGACATCTGTCATTCTGTCATTTATTTCAAATGCATGATATAAAATGACGTTCAGAACATATGACTATTCTGTTTCTATGGAAACAATCGCGACGGCAGAACCTAAGCTTGCTATTTTTGACGTCTCTAATTAAATTCAGAATTGTCAGAAGCTTTACAATGATTTATATGGCTTCTGATATAAAATAAAGTTTTGTATTATACACGACGATAAATAGGAAAACTAACCATCTCGTGAAAGTTAATACTTAACATCTTTCACTCAATGGTTAAAATATCCCTTTATCGTCTTGTAGCCTGTAACTTTTGAACTAGTAGCCCAATCTTGGAACTGTTTGAAATTATGGATTCTACAGGCCACATTCTATAAGAAAATTTTTTTCCCGGTCGATCTGAGACAATTTTTTTTCTAGTGTCGACTTTTCTTTTTCGCGGGCTCAGAAAAAAGTTATTTTTCTATAACCTTCCGTACCAAAATTTTTTTCCGATCTGAGACACTAAATTTATCGACTGGGAAAACACTTTTTCTTATTAATTTTGGTGCGTAGAATCCAAAACGATTCGTACTTTTTCGATCAGACTTCTCAATCAAAAGTTATAGACTAGAAACCAATTTCGAAAGAAAATTCAAAGGGCTGTAACTAATACATAACTATTATTGGGAAGTGTATGACACGTATTTTAAGGAAAGTGTTGCTATGTAATGTACTATGGCGTACAGCCACTACACCACCAAAACATCTGTGCAGCTAACCAAATAGAAATCGAAACTGAAACTCAGTAATCTCTTCTCGTACACATTCGGCGTCTGCTAAAAGAAAAGTGCTAATAATGACTTAAAATTTTTTAATTTAAGACTTGGTGGCCATGCGAAGATTCCAAAAAATTTATTAAGTAACAAATTTTAATTCACACTTGAAATAAATCTTAGGCACCAATAGAAAAATCCGACATTAGAACTCTATCTCGATCGCACAAAGGACTCGAATAAACGCACAATTAAAATTTATTGACAATGACAATTTATTCCGATGTGCATGAAACAAAATCCCTGAAAGAAAGAAAAGCTTACAAAGCTTATTTGGACCCGCACGCAGGCAGTCGACAATTAAAATAAGAAATCTGAAGATTACTTAAGTTTTTTCTCCATAATCCAGTCGTACACTGAGCATCAGGAAACTTCATTGTTTCTTTTAGTCCAGTCGATGTAATAAAAAGTAGGAGGGTAGCTGGAGAGTATTACAAAGTTACTACTGGAATTTTACAGGTCGTATGGAGGTACACCAGGATACCCTAAGCTTTCGATCTCGAAGACCGTGTGCTAACTTGAAGGGGGGCGTAAGACGTAAGAGCTGATGTCAATGACTTCGGGGGCTGTTGCTCCTGAAGACATAAACTGTTACATACTTGAAGATCTGCTTGGAAAGAGAATTTTAAAGACTTGAAACTGAAAGATAAGGGTAATCTGGCATCTGTTTCCTTTTCAACGAGGTTAAAAAATGCACAGTAGACCCACTCACTCTAATACAACGAGTGTGCATAATTAAATAATGAGGGACCATAGGGGTCACATGCGTTCCAAGATGAGTGATTAAGATAAGTAACATCGAAATGATCGTAATACATAAATATAGACCCAAAACCTTTCTTTTACATTTCGAAAAATTTTGATTAGCTGTATTTCGGTTAGTATTGGGTCTAAAAATTCGTTCTACCAGCGAAATTGTAGGAAATTTAATGTTCTACAACTTTATAATGCACTATGATACAAAAAATATTCTTAGTTTACGACATATAAGCAAAAACCTGGTAAAAG